ATATATATATATATATATATATATATATATTGTTTATTGATAAAATTTATAACGTAAGCTTTCAAGATAATAATATAAAAACCATAATTCATCAATTAAATCAACAAAATTCTTTCATATTTCAAAAAGTTAATCATAGAAAAAAAACACCAATGTAATTTAATTTCTCATTAAGTTTTGGTATATAAAGTGGTCAAGTTCACCCAAAAGATAAATTTTAAACAAAGTTACCCCAATCCAAACATTCTGTACTAAACCAAAAATAGTTAAATTTAAACCTAAGTTCAGATATATTATAAAATATGATCAGAAAATATATAATCCAAAATTAATTATTTAAAGGAGAGGAGAAAAATATATAAACCAAGAATTTAATAATTTAAAGGAGTAGGAGGGGTTCAAACACTCGAGAACTATGACACATGGTTGAATAAAGGAGGGCAAGTGTCTAATATTAGAATCAATAAAGCCGAGTACAACATCAGCAAGTATATAAAAGTACAAAAACTCCATCCCCTCCACAAAAGATGCCACGCCAAAAAGCTAGAAAAGAGAGAAGAGCAGCTTAATGCTCCTAACAGTGCACTGGTTCGGGAAAACAGATTTATTCAGACTCATTTTTTTCACGAGCAAGACACTAAACATAATAAGGTACTATTTATGCAGACTTCTTGGCAACGTGAACAAGCAGGTCAATCACGCGGGAGCTGCAGAACCACGGAACACAGCAGGTATTAGATTTAGCCAAGTTAACAACTTATTGCAAATTGTTAAGTGACACACTACCACTATCATATACACAAGAAAAGGTTTAAGGTGGATTACCTGTATCCCCACTCATTGTCGTACCACGACACAAGCTTCACAAAATTCTTACTCAATGCAATTCCAGCCTTTGCATCAAAAATGCTTGATCTGGAAGAATAATGTAGAAAAAAATGTAATAGATTATTCGAGAATCAATTCAAGTAAATGTTGACAACTGAAAAAGGGCATCATCACTGCCATCTACCATGTGTGTTAAATAACTTCTCAACTGTCAACATAATTTATACCTGCTATCACCCACAAAGTCGGTGGAGACCACATCATCTTCGGTGTAACCAAGAATTCCCTTCAACTTGCCCTCTGACTCCTCCCTAAGAAAGACAGCATTATATAAGACTCTAATGCAGAAGGACCAATTCCAAAATGGAGGCACTTTCAAATAAATACTTTTAATTCACATACGATCCAATAATACAAATATTTTTCCCTTACTTGATAGCATTTTTAATATCTTCATATGAAGCTGGCTTCTCCAACCTCACTGTGAGGTCAACAACAGAGACATCGACAGTAGGAACACGGAATGCCATTCCAGTCAATTTTCCATTCAAAGATGGGAGGACTTTCCCAACAGCCTTCACACAGAACAAAAAAAGTAAGAATAAAGTAAAACCAAAAAAGTGTTGCCTGTAAACAATATCAATTTTGAGTTCATGAGCCAGAAACACTGGACATATCGTATCAAATATTCACCTTGGCAGCTCCAGTGCTGCTAGGAATGATGTTAAACGAAGCAGCCCTTCCACCTCTCCAGTCTTTGGCTGATGGCCCATCAACAGTCTTCTGGGTAGCTGGTTTGCAAAACAAAAACATAAACCTAACTTAGCAGCAAGTAGTATGTTTGATAAAATAGGCAACCAACTAAGGAGCAAAAAGGCTCACCAGTGATGGAATGAACAGTGGTCATCAAACCCTCAACAATGCCAAACCTGTCATTGATGACCTACAAGATTAATAAGAAACAATTAGGATTACACAATAGTCCAAACTCCAAAACAACACAAAAAAAAAAAAAACAACCATTGAGCAAAATAATCTGGCAAATTGCAAACCTTGGCAAGTGGAGCAAGGCAGTTGGTTGTGCAGCTAGCATTGGAAATGATATCAAGCTCTGGCTTGTACTCATGTTCGTTAACACCAACAACAAACATGGGAGCATCCTTGCTGGGGGCAGAAATGATAACCTTCTTTGCACCACCCTGAATTAACAAAAAGACAGACAAATTAACATCATTAACATTCTACCCTACACTAAATATTACAGGAACAACCACGAGGCATAATAAAAAATGATAAATCACAATGGGCAACAATTAGGTACAATACAATCCGTGAAACATACATTATACCAAACAATAACGCACGTAAACAGATAATATAGGTAACGTAAACAGATAATATAGGTAACGGGTAATGATAGAAATAGAAACCTTCAAATGTGCGGCAGCCTTGTCCTTATCGGTGAAAACTCCGGTGGACTCAACAATGATTTCAGCTCCAGTCTCGGCCCATGGGATCTCTTCAGGGTTCCTGAGGATCAAAGAACATTGCTTGTTCACAACGAAAACACCACTCGACATTTACATGCATAGCAGAAATATCATAAAAGGAGAGAGTATAACGAAACCTGTGGCCAAAAACAGTGACTGGCTTGTCACCAAAGAGAAGGGTCTTAGAGTCCTTGACGGAAACTTCGTGATGCTTCCAGTGTCCGTGAACACTGTCGTATTTAAACATGTATGTCTGTGCAACCAAACACAATCAGATCTAAGATTTAAAAAATAATAATAACCAACACCGTAGCGAAACAGATGGCATAGCAAGTGTGTTTTGGTGAATTACATAGATCAAAACCGAACAACGTTGGAAATGGAAGTACGAGATACGAGGTAACCACTTACCATGTAATCGGTGGTAATGAAAGGATCGTTAACAGCAACGAGTTCGACATCGTCTCTCTGAAGAGCAACCCTGGCAACCAAACGCCCAATTCTTCCGAATCCTGTTCCATTTAAATTTAAATTAAAAACAGCGAAAATGGAAAAGTAGAAGAAAAAAAATGATCTGGTACCACAGAAGGGAGATGGAAGGTTGGAGATGGCTCACCGTTGATTCCGATCTTGACCTTGCCTGATCCGTGGAAATCGTTGGAAAACAAAGGAAAAAAAAATCAGATGGAGAAAGGGAGTGGAGTTGAAAATGAAAAGAAGAAGAAGAAGAGTATGTGCTTACCCATGAGTGAAGAGAGAATTGTGGTTGGTGTAGGAAGAGAAGAACGTTGAGAATGGAAGAGTGGGTATGAGCGAGTGAGTGAGTGAGTGAGGGAGATAGGGTTTTATTGAAGTAGAAGCAGAATAGAATAGTTAAAGAAGAGCGCAAAGACAGGTAAGGTAAGTGAGAAAAAGTGAGGTAGGTGGCTGACACCTACAGGACCGGCGTATGATCCGTGATGCGGTACCTGCCAACCGATTCCTTTCTTTTCTTTTCTTTTTAAATCAAACTAACGTTACATTCCTGTATGTGAATTTTTTACTAAAATAATATTTTTTTAAAAAAATTTACCAAAAAAATATCTATACCACTTTATTTACCTAAATAGAGGTGACAACATGGTGGTTGATAGTGCTCTGACAATAGTGTAAGATCGTCGATGGAAAAAAAATTACTCAAAAGGTAATAATATGGTGTGGAAGATAAATTATAAGCATGTGAACCTTTTATAAACCAATGTGTATGATACACTTCCTTACAATTCGTCTTATGTTTCCATATTGTCTCATCTTAATTAGATATTTTTTAAATAATATAATTTTTTTTTGAATAGTTGTACATTAATAATAAAAGTCTTTTTTGAATAAATAATATTTTACATATTTATAATAATATAGTTCAATTAAAATATATATTATTACACATATATATATATATATATATATCCTAATTTAGTTATATATTTTTTATTTTATAACTAATAAGTAACTTGTACTTATACACGTGTTTTCTTTTCTCGATCATTTGTGAAATAAACATTGTTTTAACACCTCTACATTAAAGAGAATAAAATAATAAGATAAAAATGTATACAAATGAACTAATATAATACAAAATTTTATATCTTATATAAGGTACAAATGAATTTTATATTTAATTATGAATTATTGTAATGTCATAAAAAATTGGTCATTATACCTCTAGTAAAAAATATTTAATTGAATAATAAATAATATCACAAAATATAAGTATCGAACTTTATGCAGATAGAATGAGTTGTAGAAGTTCATCCATAAAATAATAAAATAAATAAAATAGTAAAATGTTTGTAAAATTATAATGGTTAAATTATACTTTGATCCTTTATTTTATTTATTAGATTTAATTTAATTTTTTTATCTATTAAAATATTTATCTTGATCATTTATCTTTTATATTTGGATTAATTTGGTCCTTTTTAAAATAACAATAATTTTTAATTTTGTAACTTAATTTCAAATCAATTTTTTATTGATTTGAGACGTGAAACTTGTAATAATATGTTTAACTGTATAAAAACTATAAAATTTAATTGACCTTTGAATTCATAAAATTTATAATATAATAAAAATAGTGTAAAAAATGTCTAATAAACAATTAGAAAATTGTATGAAATTATAGTTTTTGAAATTTCAATTATTTTTTGGACTTATTTTTATACAATTTTCGTCATGTTTGTAATATTTTTTATTTGAATTTTTGTTGCGTTCAACCATTTTCATATAAGTGAATCTAATTAGGTGAATTTCAAGTTTTAAATCAGTCAAAAAAATGATCCAAAATCATGTTTGAAAATTAAAAACAATTATTGTTTCAAAAGGACCAAGTTAACCTAAATTTAAGAGATAAAAGACCATAATAAACACTTTAAAAGATAAAGGAATAATATGAATCTAACAAATAAAATAAAAAATTAAAAGTACAATTTAGTCAATTATAATTTATCAATTAATTTAGTTCTTGAAACTATAATATTCAAAGTTGTCTGTAAAATTAAAAGGATTCAATTGTAATTTTTGTTTAACATTTAAAATCTTATAAATTAAGTCCCTAAACTGTTTGTTTCATACATTTATAACCTAAATTTTCATAATACCATAAATTTTAAAATTTTTCCCAATGTTATCAAAATAATCTTAATTTTGCCTCTAAAATACAACTAAGCATTCAAAAAATAATAAAAAGGGTTAGAATAATATATGAACTTTTAACATTTCCTTCTTCTTTCCCACTAAATCATTTAACTTGTTTAATGTATACATGAAAAATATATTATCTATAACATACAATTGTTAACTACACTTTTGATCTCCTAACTATATGTTTATATTTGTATAAGAAATATTAAAAAATAATATAATTAAATGTATTTTTATTTTTCAAGTATCGACATTGTGTGATTTTAACCTTTCAAATTTTAATCAAATAATTCTTCAAATGCCATTATTGTGCAATTTTAGTTTCTCATTAAAAATTTAATAATTTTTCTTTGAAAAGACAAATAATAATTTTACATAATAATAAAGATAATAACATACACACAATACGTGTGATATGTTGCATCAACATTACAACATGTACATATGAGTATCAAAAAAAGTCCGTGCTGCTTGGAAAACGGGCCGCTCCGGTTGCAAAATTTACCCACAACCCGAACTACAAACAGAAAAGAAAAAAAATTTTAAACACTTCTCATAATTCGGTTCACCGGGAACCGAATTCTGAGCTAAAAAAAAATTAAAGTTCAGAATTCGGTTTCCCAGGAACCGAATTCTGAACATGAATAGTAAAAGGTTCTGTTTGGGTAAATAAAGTGGTACAGATGCTTTTTTTGTAAAATTTTTTTTTAAAATATTATTTTAGTAAAAAATTCCTTGTATGTTGCCTAGCTCCTCATAAAAAAAGTTGGTTTTACAAAATCTCAATAATTAATTATAATTATAATTTCTGACTATTTATAATAAATTATATAAAAATGGAATGAACAGTGGTCATCAAACCCTCAACAATGCCAAACCTGTCATTGATGACCTACAAGATTAATAAGAAACAATTAGGATTACACAATAGTCCAAACTCCAAAACAACACAAAAAAAAAAAAAACAACCATTGAGCAAAATAATCTGGCAAATTGCAAACCTTGGCAAGTGGAGCAAGGCAGTTGGTTGTGCAGCTAGCATTGGAAATGATATCAAGCTCTGGCTTGTACTCATGTTCGTTAACACCAACAACAAACATGGGAGCATCCTTGCTGGGGGCAGAAATGATAACCTTCTTTGCACCACCCTGAATTAACAAAAAGACAGACAAATTAACATCATTAACATTCTACCCTACACTAAATATTACAGGAACAACCACGAGGCATAATAAAAAATGATAAATCACAATGGGCAACAATTAGGTACAATACAATCCGTGAAACATACATTATACCAAACAATAACGCACGTAAACAGATAATATAGGTAACGTAAACAGATAATATAGGTAACGGGTAATGATAGAAATAGAAACCTTCAAATGTGCGGCAGCCTTGTCCTTATCGGTGAAAACTCCGGTGGACTCAACAATGATTTCAGCTCCAGTCTCGGCCCATGGGATCTCTTCAGGGTTCCTGAGGATCAAAGAACATTGCTTGTTCACAACGAAAACACCACTCGACATTTACATGCATAGCAGAAATATCATAAAAGGAGAGAGTATAACGAAACCTGTGGCCAAAAACAGTGACTGGCTTGTCACCAAAGAGAAGGGTCTTAGAGTCCTTGACGGAAACTTCGTGATGCTTCCAGTGTCCGTGAACACTGTCGTATTTAAACATGTATGTCTGTGCAACCAAACACAATCAGATCTAAGATTTAAAAAATAATAATAACCAACACCGTAGCGAAACAGATGGCATAGCAAGTGTGTTTTGGTGAATTACATAGATCAAAACCGAACAACGTTGGAAATGGAAGTACGAGATACGAGGTAACCACTTACCATGTAATCGGTGGTAATGAAAGGATCGTTAACAGCAACGAGTTCGACATCGTCTCTCTGAAGAGCAACCCTGGCAACCAAACGCCCAATTCTTCCGAATCCTGTTCCATTTAAATTTAAATTAAAAACAGCGAAAATGGAAAAGTAGAAGAAAAAAAATGATCTGGTACCACAGAAGGGAGATGGAAGGTTGGAGATGGCTCACCGTTGATTCCGATCTTGACCTTGCCTGATCCGTGGAAATCGTTGGAAAACAAAGGAAAAAAAAATCAGATGGAGAAAGGGAGTGGAGTTGAAAATGAAAAGAAGAAGAAGAAGAGTATGTGCTTACCCATGAGTGAAGAGAGAATTGTGGTTGGTGTAGGAAGAGAAGAACGTTGAGAATGGAAGAGTGGGTATGAGCGAGTGAGTGAGTGAGTGAGGGAGATAGGGTTTTATTGAAGTAGAAGCAGAATAGAATAGTTAAAGAAGAGCGCAAAGACAGGTAAGGTAAGTGAGAAAAAGTGAGGTAGGTGGCTGACACCTACAGGACCGGCGTATGATCCGTGATGCGGTACCTGCCAACCGATTCCTTTCTTTTCTTTTCTTTTTAAATCAAACTAACGTTACATTCCTGTATGTGAATTTTTTACTAAAATAATATTTTTTTAAAAAAATTTACCAAAAAAATATCTATACCACTTTATTTACCTAAATAGAATTTTTTATTGTTTATATTCAAAATTCGGTTATCGAGAAATCGAATTCTGAGCTATTAAATTTTAATTATTTTATTTTTCGTTTTTGGATCTGAGAATGGTGTAAAATTAGAATCGGAAAGGCCCGTTCTGAATGGAGAACGGGTCGTGCTCCTTGCAGAACGGCCCGTGCTGCAAGGAGAACGGCCCATTCTCCGTTCAGAACCAGTCGTTCCGGTTCCAAAAATACACACATGATGAATGCATCAAAACGGGTCGTTCTGCTTGAACGTTCCAGTTTCAAAAATAACAGATTATTCGTGCAAGCAGAACAGTCCGTTCTGCTTGGAAAACGGGCCGCTCCGGTTGCAAAATTTACCCACAACCCGAACTACAAACAGAAAAGAAAAAAAAATTTAAACACTTCTCATAATTCGGTTCACCGGGAACCGAATTCTGAGCTAAAAAAAAATTAAAGTTCAGAATTCGGTTTCCCAGGAACCGAATTCTGAACATGAATAGTAAAAGGTTCTGTTTGGGTAAATAAAGTGGTACAGATGCTTTTTTTGTAAAATTTTTTTTTAAAATATTATTTTAGTAAAAAATTCCTTGTATGTTGCCTAGCTCCTCATAAAAAAAGTTGGTTTTACAAAATCTCAATAATTAATTATAATTATAATTTCTGACTATTTATAATAAATTATATAAAAAAATTGTAAAATTAATATTTTAAACATATAACTTTTAATTTTGATTTTCAATAAATAACTTATATGGTGAAACAAACTTATTTATGTGAATAAATTATGTTAGTTTTTTTGTTATGAATAATTTATTAATTTATTTATACAATATCATCTTCTCTCATGTGACAATAATACTTTCATTTTATATATAAGACGCTCTTTATTTTTTTTGTTTATCCTTTCTTAGAAGAATAATAATAGAAGGTCTAATAGATTGGAATTTCATAAAATTATTTTAGAATTGAAAAAATTTAGAAATTTTAAAAGACTTTGTAAGAATGTAATTTTAAAGTTTTTTTTTTCTAAAGAGACTTTTATAATTGAGATTTTGTAAATTTTAATGAATTTATATCATAAGAATTTATAAGATTTTAAAATATTCTATGGGATTTCAAAGTACAATATGAACTTTAAAAAATAATAAAAATTAACATAAGTGATTAGGTTTTTTTTTTGGTGTTGAAATGATTAGGGTCGTGCTCCTTGCAGAACGGCCCGTGCTGCAAGGAGAACGGCCCATTCTCCGTTCAGAACCAGTCGTTCCGGTTCCAAAAATACACACATGATGAATGCATCAAAACGGGTCGTTCTGCTTGAACGTTCCAGTTTCAAAAATAACAGATTATTCGTGCAAGCAGAACAGTCCGTTCTGCTTGGAAAACGGGCCGCTCCGGTTGCAAAATTTACCCACAACCCGAACTACAAACAGAAAAGAAAAAAAAATTTAAACACTTCTCATAATTCGGTTCACCGGGAACCGAATTCTGAGCTAAAAAAAAATTAAAGTTCAGATATTCAATTAATAAATAATTATAATAAATAAAAGTTAAATTAAATTAAAAAAATTCTTATTAAAAAAATTCTTATTAAAAAAATACTAAAAATACTCTCACAAAAAATAAATACTCTTATTTAATATATATGAATTGGTTTAAAATCAATAACAATTTACACACCACATGTGAATAGAATCAACTCGTTAATTTTAATTTATTGCTTAAAAAAATAAATTTAATCGCCATTAATATATGGATTATGCAAATTATTTATCTTTAATGACATAGCCTTATACAATTAAATAAAGATAAAAACATGTGGTCACAGTCACAGTTCCATTCATCACTGCCTCATATTTAATTTTATTTATTTATTTATCATCTACTGTGCTTGTAGTAGTTTGGGTCAGAAGAAGGCTATCCCTCACCGAGTACACCCTCTCGCTCCTCCCCGCCGCCACCGTCGCCACCGGAACCTCCGCCTTCGTGGACGCCGCCAGCGGCCGCAACCTGACGTACTCGCTGTTCCTCCGGCAAGTAAAATCCCTGGCCTCCTCACTACAATCGCTGACTCCTCTGTCGAAAGGCCACGTGGCGCTAATCCTCACCCCATCCTCGCTGCACGTGCCTGTACTCTACTTTGCCCTCTTATCTATCGGCGTAATCGTCGCGCCGGCTAACCCCCTCAGTTCCCCCTCCGAGTTGACTCACCTGGTGCGACTCGCCAAACCCGTTATCGCCTTTGCCACGTCAGCCATCACACCCAACATTCCCTCCCTCCGATTCGGCACCCTCCTCATGGACTCGCCCCTCTTCGATTCCATGCTCCACAACCGGTAAAATCAATAACAATTTTTTATTTACACTTTTTTTTTTATCCTTTATTATTACATCAAAAATAAATTCTGTTTTTTTAATATAAAGTTCAAAATAATCACCGGTGTAAGCGACATAAATAATTGTTGAAAAATTATTGTACTTATTTATTATTATATAAGTACGAAAAGTCTCAATTTTATTGATAAATTTTACAAAGGTCAAAATAATCACCGGTGTAAGCGACATAAATAATTTTTAAATGTTATAAAAATTATTGTACGTACTTATTATATAATAACAAAAATATCCCAATTCTGTTAATAAATTTTAATATATTTTTAAAACCAAATTATTACTTACTTAAAAATTAATGGTTAATCTCTATTATCTAATGTTTTTATACATCGATCGAGAATTCAAATATATCTCTATTACATCCTAAACTATATGATTATCTATATCATGTTAAGCAAACTTTCTCAATGCAAATATTAATATTCTAATATTAAATTAGAAAAAATTAAAAAATTAAAAATAAATAATATATTATTTTTGATATAGATAAATAAAATAATTTTTTTCTCCAATTAAATATATTTTTGACAGTAACGTGGAGGCGCCTAATAAAGTGGAGCTGAGTCAGTTCGACACGGCGGCGATTTTGTTTTCCTCCGGCACGACGGGGCGCGTGAAAGGCGTGGAGTTGACGCACCGGAACTTCATCGCGGTGATTGCGGGGTTTAACCACCTAAGAGCGGTGACGGTGGCGGTGGCAGAAGAGGAGTTGCAGCGGGTCTCTCTGTTCACGCTGCCGCTGTTCCACGTGTTCGGGTTCTTCATGTTGGTCAGGGCCGTGGCCACGGGGGACACGCTAGTGTTTATGCAGAGATTCGATTTCGAAGGAATGCTGAAGGCCGTGGAGAAGTATAGAATCACCAGCATGCCAGTGTCGCCGCCGCTCATCGTGGCACTGGCCAAATCAGAGCTCGTCAAGAAGTACGATCTCGGCTCGCTCAAATTTTTGGGATGCGGCGGCGCGCCGCTTGGCAAGGAGGTCACCGAGGCCTTCGCAACCAAATTCCCCAATGTCGAAATTTCGCAGGTAAGAACAACCTATTATAAAGGTTGAAACTCTTATTTGGTCTCTTATAATATTTTTTATTTTAATTTAGTCTTACTTTAATTTTTTGTTTTAATTTGGTCTTCAATAATTTAAATTATTGTAATTTGGGACTTCCGTCCAAATGATTTAAACGGAGTTAACTAATGGTCACGTGGATGCCACGTAGATGGATTCCAAATTTCTTGAATATATCTGGAATCAGAACAGCCCGTTCTAAAACCAGAATAGGCCGTTCTGGTTCACGAAAAAAAACTCAAGGTACAAAGCATTTCAAACGCTAGATTTGATAATATTGTCAATGAGAATTGATAACTTCAATTGCTAAACATTTAGGCTATACAGTGTATCATTAAGGACGATGCAATGTATCACTAAGGACAATGGTAACAGGTTTTATTTTATTGTTAGTCAAACTGAAGTGAATCACTTACTACTAAATTGACACTATACAGTCAAGAATGAATTTTTGAACCTTTTTAGTATATGTTATTTCATGTGCATTCTGAGTAATTTCTTTGAACTTTTTTAGTATATGTTATGTTATGAATTTTTTGTTTTTAGTTTCTGAACCATGTTTCTGTCTTTGAATTTATGATATGTTATGAATTTTTATTTTCAATTTTTGAATCACAATACGACATTTTGGTCAAGATTTTGAACTAAACAAAGAAGGATTTTTGAAAGTTTTATTTATTTGATTTTTTTTGTAGTTTTATTCATAAATAATATTAATTTATTGTATTTTTATTAATATATTATATATAATGAAAAAAAATTACAATAAAAAGCATGAAGTTAGCGTTCTGGAAACGGGCCGTCTGGATTCAGAACGACCCGTTCTAAAAGCAGAACGACCCGTTCTGGTTTCAGAATGGCCCGTTCTGATGCACTTATGTTGTGTTAAATTTGCATTTGGTCCAGTTGCAAATTTAACACATAACATGTGCAAGCAGAACGGACCGTTCTGGTTTCACGTATATTCATGAAATTTGGCATCCACCTGTGCATCTACGTGACATCCACGTGACATCCAGTTAACTTCGTTTAAATCATTTGGACGGAAGTCCCAAATTGCAATGATTTAAATTATTGGGGACCAAATTGAAACCAAAAATTAAAGTGGGGCTAAATTAAAACAAAAAATATTATAAGGGACCAAATAAGGGTTTTAACCTATATATATAAACGAGTATAGTTATAATTATACCTATGTAACTTTTGACTAAATATTATACCGCTCAATAATTTTATATTAATTATGAATTTTGTAAATTCAACTGTTAGATTGAAAGTTCATATCTCTTAGATTGCATATACAAAATTTTATATTAATCTAAGATGATTTGATACTTCATTTTTATAAAATAAAATTAACTAATATATTCATTTCAAAATACACTAAAATATGAACACTTTAATTACTTTCAAGTTGTTGTTCAGTTTTAACAAAAAATTGATATACAGATAAAGTGATATGAACTTTAAATCTAATGGTTAAATTTATAAAATTCACATTTAATATAAAGTTATTAAGTGATGTAATACTTAAAAAAAGTTACACTGGTATAATTATAACCCCTATATATATATATATATATTTTTTTTTTTTTTTCTTTTTCTTTTTCTTTTTTATCAAGGATTTGTTCGCATTCTTACCTCACTCACCTCGTCAACTTCATACCATTTACTTCAACTAAAACTCAAAAAGTACGATATAAGATTAGTTTAAGATCAGGTTAATTTAACTTGGGTATGTAATATAATATATTAATTTTAATGTTAATACATAATTAAATTGTAAAGTAAAAATTATATAATTTTAATTAAAATATATTTTATAGTATATTTTAAAATAAACATAATCTTATATTATATTAGATAAAATGTTTTTTATTAAGGTTTTTTACAACTGTTATTTATTCAGTTAAGAAGTTAGCTTATGAACATAAAATTATTTAAAATAATTTAAATAAATAACATTGGATGACATGGAAACAACTTTGAAAGATATTCTGAACCCATTTTTTCAAATATATAATATATAATTAGGAACGAGAATAAATCAAATTTTAAATAAGAGTTTATAGTATAATTTGTTTAAAATTTGACATAATCTAATGTATTTAATAAAAAAATTTAAGATTAGATTTTTAAATAACTAATTTATTTAAAAAGATTGGACTTGAGGTTGCACAAATAGTCTTAAAAATCTAATTTATCAATTTATTTATCTATAATATAATAATATTATTATTTTTACATATTTTTAAAAATAGAAAATATTATAAATATAATTACAATAAAAATTAAATTTAAGTCATCATATTTTTAACTACCCTAATCAATCATCACCCAACTCACTCAAATATGTAAATGGCTCAAATATGTAAACTGATACCAAACAAATATTTATCCTAACAAGAAGGAGTTTGAACTATTTTCATCCTATCCATACTTATTTTGACTCATTCTCATCCTACGTGCCTCTTTCTCTTGAATGAGTGGCAGGTTTTTAATTTGACAACTCTCTTTTACCCATAAAATTCCAAACTTTTAACTTTCTTGTACTTGCTTTTTCTTCTTCTTTACTTAACTTTTATTATTAAACAATATTACCTAATTATTAAATTCAACCATGGCAAAAAGTCACTTTAGACAATGGACTAAATCAAACATTCTTAATCTTATTTAATGAATTTCATATTTAAATAACTTTAATCAATAAAATTATAAAAATATTTATTAATACAGATTATTGTTTACGTATGTACAAATTAATTATACAAATATATTAATTTTAGAACATTTTTAATTTTAATACATAGAAAAAATTATTTTATTTCTTTTTAAATTTCTATAAAATAATTATTTAATTATTTTTTAAAGAATTAATTACTTATATATTGTCAGTATAATTTTTTTATATTAATAATTAATTATATTTTTTAATTATATTATGATAGTGTTAAAAAATAGGTGATTAAGTTTTATTTTGAGAGATTTAACTTTTGATGTGGGTCCCATTATTTTTTATGTTTTGTGATTATCACTTGTCACGGGCTGTCGGTCTTTATTATTATTTTTAATGCTAGTGGGTCCCATGGAAATTTATTTTCTGAGCCCTATTTAGTGAATCAATTTTAGCATGCCAAATCCAGATTTCAAGTATCTCATAATTTACCGGGACTCAAAGGGGGCTTTTTATATACCTTTTTACGAATCTCTTATCGCTGTATTTTTTTATTAATTAAAATTAAATTATAGTAAGTTTTAATAGTTTGAAAATGGGATTCTCAAATTAAACAATAGAAAATTACATTTTTGGATGCCAAAAATGTATTACCATAATTTATTTTTTTAAGTTTTGTAGATACTCACCACATGTTTGGATCCCCCTTTGACAGAGATATTCACTAGTTTTAAAGCGTGTTTGAAAAATTGTTTTTTTAACAAAAACATAAAAACACGCATTTCAAAACACCAAAATACAAAGCACAATTTGGATCTTTCCCGTTCAACGTCGGTTTGAGATATTTCAACAATAAAACAAACACACTCTTAGTCTTGGTCATGTACGCACGTTAAGAACAATTTTTAACAGTATTTGAGTGATGTTGCGATTTCTCATCATCTGTTTTTTTACTTCGACTTTCGTGTAATGCATTTATGGGCGTCAAACGATTTGACTTCCCAAAATTTACAAACCCTGCCATTATAATTCTTGGAAATCATATTTATTATAATTATGATTTCTGAAAAAAAATTAAAATATGTTTAATTTTTCATAAATATTCATGAGAATATTTATATAAAATTTTCATAAATTAAAGATTTTTATATTTAATTATATTATAATTTAGGGAGAAAGGAAAATAGAAGGAGAAAGGGAGAAAGAAAGAGAGGCACAGAGAGAGATGGAGAGGGAGAGGAAGAGAAGAAGAGTGAGAGTGAGAGAGAGAGGGAGAAGGAGAGTAAGAGAGATAGAGACAGATAGAGAAATAGAAGGAAAGAGAGAGAGAGAAAGAGAGAAATTTTCTATTTTAAAAAAAGATATTATGGTCTTTTTATATGTATTAAGTTTTTTTTCTAACTCAGGAAACTTAGATTTTCACTCCTCTATGATAATGTTTTTGTGGAAAAGTAGGATAAAAATTGTTCTTGGCAAACTACATTCTTAAGAATCTCATTTTTAAAAAATAAGATTTTCGGTTTAAGATTCTTAAGAATGTAAAAACATTTCACGTACCAAATATCATCTTAATAAAAAAATTAATAGTTACAATATTTGATTATATATTTTTTTATGAACCTAGTACATGCAATGTTCTAAACTAATAATTAAAAATTAATTTATTTTCGTGAAACATGATTTTTAGTAATTAAATATTATTTTAATACAAACAGATATCGAACATAATAATATTAGGTTAATCATGTCTTCGTGAATAAATCTTACATACAACCATGAAGTTAAGAGGTATTAAATTATATTTGATTATACTTGCACATACATAATAATGTTGTAAGTTAAGAAATATTAAATTATATTTGATTATACTTGCAATAATATTTTTTTTTTAAATCTGAGACATAATATTGATCAAAATATCCTAATAAAAATTTAAATAAAAACATTTTGTTAAAAATACTCTTGTCTCACAATTATAAATTATTTATTATAAATTTAAAATACAATTTATACATTTACAAATATATATTTATATAAATTTTAAATATAATTTATATATTTAAATATAGTATTCATTTGTATATATAATTTATTTGAAATTTAAGTTATATATAATAAATATTTAGTTCACTAGGTTACTAGTTTTATATAAAATGTTTAATATTTTAAAGAAGATATTATGTGGTAAAATTTGAAGAATTTTAAAGAGGGAGAGTTTTTAATCAATTTAATTTTAAAAAAATAATAGGCAATTAGAATTTAAGGGTTTTAACTAGAGAAAAAAAGATAGGAGAACTAATTTTGCTTAATTTTGATCCAGTCATTGACATGAAATGATGTATTTGAAATTTCACATCAACTAATAAGGTAATTATAATAATGTATATAAAT